CAATTCCCACAATAAACATGCAACATGCTTAATTAGCAAATAAATGTTCACTGCATCATTTCCCAATAAGCCAGATTTTTCAACTACAATAATCAAAATAATAAGGTACAAGTTTACAACCAAATTAGCATTTTTCCAACAAGAACACCATTGTTTTTTTTTAATAGAGAAATCTGCCATAGAAGGAATCATACCACTGAGCCATTATCCCTATTCTAGGAAGGAAGGAAACAAAAAGCTAAACTCACAAAGGTAATCAGTGTTGATTAAAACAGTAGAAACTTGAGGAACAACCAAAATGTTTAATAAGAGGTAAATGACTAAATCAATTAAGGCAAATAACTGAAATATCTGTATGATGGGGAAAATAACATAATCTACCATTTATTGATCACCTCTCCTCAGAACAATTCAAGGTCAAATATGATTATCCTTATTTCACAGGCAAGGAAATAGGTTCTGAGGTATATAATATGTCCAAGATTTTTGAGAGCAAATTCCAGGCAGATTTATCTGATTCATCTGATTCCAAAATCTGTCATGTTTTCTCTACATTATACTATCTCTACCTTACAATGTTTAGTAATATAGTAATGCAAAATTCTGTCTTTATTATATAATTTTAATTATTATCAATTTTATTCTTAAAATACTGACAACTGGAAACAAAGATGTCTATTTGAGGGGTGATTAAAGGTGAATTTTGCTACAGTACTTATATATTTTTTCAATTAACAACTTTTAAAGCAGAATTTATGAGCATTGGACTAAAGAGGAAATACATAAGCAGCAAGCTACACTTTATTTTTAATTTTCATTAAGGACACAGAATAGTAAAACATAAAATCATAAGGTACTGAACTACAACCATATACAACACACTCAACTGTATCTAACAAAGTCATGTATTAATCCTGAGGTACTTGTTACCAGGATTCAAAATCTGATCATTATCACTGGATGAAACAGCAATCTTCCAGAAAAAGGTGGATTTCAGTGAAAACTGAAAGAAGAGGGAATGGACTGGAGAAAAACAGGAATGTCTAAAGTGAGAAAAACAAGGGTACAAGAAAAACAAGAATGTTTTCCTTCTAACCAAGAATGAGAAACAGGGTTAGTGAGATGAATTTGGTGGAAAGCCTTCAAGGTCAAGCTGATCTGTTTGGGATTAATTCGATAAGCAAGAAGGAACTGATTTTTTTTTAAGTGGGTCAGTAGATGCTAACATGCTCTTTAAAGATTCACTTGGTAAAGTACTGTCATTCATTGCACAATGTTTTCGACAAACTGGGGAGGTGGAATAATCTATACCCTTTATGTGAGCTTTATACATAACTCTTCTCAAAAAAAGAAACTGACTAAACAAAAATCCTTATATAAGGTATACTATGGAGAGGGAGATATTTCATAGATAAAATGCTTGGAATTATTAAACACCACTTAGATTCTAGTGAAAATCACACAACTTTATAAGGATGGGCCCTGGAGGGAATCTTTTAGGGACACCATCTTCAGTTTCACAACAGATTAAATCGAGGCTCAAGAATTAAACAATTTGCCTAATGTCACATGTAAACTAGTGGAAAATTGAATAATAAAACTCAGATTCTCTAGGTAACAAGACCTAAAGCTCTGCTGTCCTATACTGTAGTTATTAGTCACATCTGGTAATTTAAATACAAACTGGTAAAATAAATAAGACTTAATATTCAATATTCATAGCCAATAGTCACATTTCAAATGAGCAATGCCACAAATAGCATTTAGTCGCCATACCTGACTGCACAAAGCTTCATAAAACAGCACACTCTAAGGAATAAACTTCAGAGTACTGGTTTGAATTCTGTCTACAACAATGTGATCCTGGATAAGTTAATTTCTCTTTGCTTCCAATTTGGGGGGAGAGAGAGGCGGAAGTTGGTGATAATTGATACCTACTGCTAAGTGTATTTGATGATTATGTGGGAAAATATGAACTGCCCCTTCTACTGTCTGACACATAACAGAAAACCCATAGTTCCCTTCTGAATCTTTTTTTTGTTTCTATTCCTCTATATTACCTTCTTGTTAGTAACTTAAACACAGTGACTTACCTAATTAATTATCTTTCCCAGAAGATAGTCCACAGACCTAATTTTCATTCTGTTCCTAATTCATTCCAACACCTGCACCTCTTCTTCCAATGTTTTCACTTATGACTAATGAAGAATGAATGGGGAAAGGGGTGCTTCTAAGTAAACAGAAAAGAATTTAATAATAAATTTCCACTTCTGTTTGTCATCCTATTTCAAATACGATCACAATAAATACAAGAAAAGGAATAAATTATACTGTTCCTAAATACTGTACTTCCACACCAAAAGAAATTCTACAGTACTTCTATATTATATCCCTTCCTACCATCTGTACCACTAATTGAATATTAAATGAAGAAATAACACCTTCCTCCTATAATACTTTCCTGCAAACAATAAAGGATTTTCAGAATGCTAAGCCAGCCTTCAAGACTTCACAGCTTAAGCTACTAAACTGTGAAATTAAACAAACCTAGACTATAGTACCAAAAATAAAAACTTCATAACACAATGCAAACTCTTTTTGTAACCAGTGAACTGCCAATATTAAGTCTTAGGGGCAATAACTCATACTTAGTCACATTAAATCACTAGTGAGATCATCAATTTTACATACATAATAGGTAACATTCAATATTAAAACAGAACTTTTAAACATTCATCTTTAAACACCCACCAAACAAGACTTGCACATATTTTTTAAAGTTTTGTTTAAAGTTGACCACAGTAAGTCTCAGAGAGAAGAAAAGTCAGTAACAATGTCTCCCTGAAATTATCTAGTAGTTCCTTAAGGATAATTAACTCAAAAATCCCTGAGCCCCCTTAGAGTGTTGAGAATAAGTCATAAATACTAAATAGATAAAACTGTACCTTGTACTGTCACTTTATAACTCAAATTATGTTTAACAAACAAAACCAAAATATTCTGTATATATAAACAATATTCAATAACAGGCTTTACTACTAATAGTTGATGGGGGAGGGAGGGCACCTAAAAGAACAAATTTTACGAATATCACGTAAAGTATTTTACACATGAAAAAAATTAAGTTTCTACTTGTTAATTGATGAAATCTAATTTGTGAGAATCTGTAACTTTTTAAAGTCCTTCAATAATAATCAAGTGTACATTGGTCACAGTAGAATAGTTCAAATGAATTTTCCTGAGGCTGCATTCTAAGTACATCTGACCCAGAAAGTATTTTTAGCAAGTGTGTTCAATCAATGCTGGTTTTATGCCTGGCCTAAATTAGAAATTGGGTGTCACAAATTTAAAGTAACAAAGTTACTAGGGACATTTTAAAAGATACATAATTAGAACATAAAAAACCCCACAAGTCTGAAACAATTCACTACCTATACCCAAGAAGCTAAGCAGGTTATTATAAAACAAGCAAAAAGTCACATCCTCATCCTATATTTGAGGAAACAAAAATTTCCTAACAAAAAATGTGAACATACTCATTATTAGTACAAAGTAAAAAATAGTGATGGTTTCTTGCATTTTCAAAAAATCTCTTGCCAAACCGATTAGTTTAATTACAAATGTTACCCAAGAAAATGACTTTGGTATTATGAACCACTCAATATCATTTCATGGGACCAAGCAATTTTCAATAGAAAACAGCAACAAAAATGTGAGTCATTAAAAAAAAAAAAAGCTTTTGTGACAATTGGAGCATAAATGTACTTCGACCAAAAAAAAAGGGGGGGAGTCCACAAAATGACTGCATTTTTTAAATTATAAGTCAGTAAATAAGTTCTGTACAAAACACAAACTTGCTAACTAAAATAGTTTTTTTAAGTCTATAGAGTAACTTTATGTTTGTCAAATTCAAGATTCAAGATTCAACTGCTATATCTAGTTCTGTTCCATTAAGCACACTTTGGGCTCTAAATTATCATTTAAGGTCATCTCCTCTCCCTTTATAAAAAATAGTATTTTCCTCCAGAACACTGAAATTCAAAAAATAGGATTTAAAAAATAATGTCCTAATTTTTGCTGTTCATTTCTCTTTTTATTCAAGTCGTCTTTTACCAGTCAGATACAAAGGCTTCCCCCCTACCCCCGTTTTTTTTAATCTTTCTTCTTAAGCATGTTTTAAACTGTCCTGTTTTAACGGGGCCTAAAATACATAAACCTTGTATTACTCCAAATCTGATTCCAGAAGTATATAGTTGGTATATTGCTGATACAGAAGTCCTCCTTAAACAGCTTGAAAATCCTGCAAACGGTCCTTGTACCATTTGTCACTATATAATAAAACCACAGACAAACCCCACTATATAATAAAACTCCCATGCTAAGTTTCTCAGAACTATCCCCACATGTATCTGTGCAATTGTAACTGTTTCATTTTAAGGAAACCTTTGTAAACATCGGTAACTATTTAGTGGCATCTTAACTTTTTTTTTGGCCCAACTACAGTTTCCTAAATATAAGTATATACCAGTAGAATCCTAAGAGGCTAAAAACTTCAATGGCAGGGCCAGTCTGCCCATGCAGCATGCAGGAAGCGTTCATTTCAGCCAATTAAAAAAAAAGAAGAAGAAGAACGAACGAAGAAAAAAAAAAAAAGTCTACCAGCAAAGGAAAACTCAGAAGACTCTAAAACCTTACCTAGAGTTTAGGTGCCGTGAAACCTTCCATTTCTGCACCTATCCCATCCCTTCTCCCTAGCTCACGTTAACGGAGATCCCAACTACAACCCCCAGAAGCTCTGAGAACAGAGGTCCCGGGAAGAAAAGGGGGGATCTCGAGGGGGGGACACGTCTGGAGCAACATTTTCCCCCCTCCCTTTTAACTCAACCTAGTACCTCCGGCTTGCCCCACCTGGCTAGCCTCCCACGAGCCACACACGCCCCAGGTAATAGCCTCACGTACAACGTGCAGGGCCGAGGCCGGCGGCGACCCGAGTCTCTTACCTTCGTATCACAGCCGCTTCCTCTCGGCTGGAGAAGAAAAGCCTCGAGACCCGGGCGCGCCGGGGCGCAGCGCCTCCGCCGCGCGGCTCCCGGGGGCTCCCTCAGCAGCCCCCCAGCAGCCGCCGCCGCAGCAACCGCCGCGCCACGGCCCCGAGTGGCCGGCACCACCTCATACTGCGGGACAACCTCGGGCGGGCGCCGCCAGGAGCCAGAGGGAGACAGGCAGCCGGCGCGCTCTCCCACTTCCCTGCGGGAATGAGCTAATCCACACCCCCCAAAAGTAACGTGGGGGAGGGGAGCCCCGGGGCCGGGGACCTGGCCCCCAATCTCCGACCCTTCAGCCAAAGCCGAGCGTCTAGCCGTCCCAGCTCAGGCCCCGATTTCAGCCCCGGGGGACCCAGGAGTCCTGAGAGAACAATATGGGGGGGGGGCGTGAGGAGCGGAAAAGCACGCAGCGCGGCGCGAGCGGGTAATCCCGGGCAGCGTTTGTGTGTGAGAGTGCAAGAAGAGCTCAATCCCCCCTCCTCTTCTCCTCCTCCTCCTTCTCCGTCTCCTCCTCCTCCTCCTCCCTCAAGCACACCCCGTCTCCCAGGCCACAGCATAGCAACCGAACATGGCGGCTGCGCAGGCACCGCCAATCAGAGGTTAGAAGCGGCGGGGACAGCAACAGGAGGCGATCTCGCGAGAGGTGAGGCCGAACTCCTTCCCCGCCAGCACAGGCTGGAGAGGTTGCACCGGCCCCGGCGCGGGGGGACACGCAGGTGCGAGGGAGGCGGGATCAGGGGCGCTAGGGATGGAGGGCTGAACCGAGGAGGCGGGACACTTTGGCTCCGCCCCATGGCCACACCGCGATTGGTTAATTGAACCGAGATCCGCCCCACCTCCCGCTGGACCTACTGACAGAAGGGACCGAACGGAGGGTCACTGAAACCTGTTTCAATGGGGAAAACTAGAACTCTTGGTCCCAGATCTCCCAGCTGTAGTGATAATAGAGGATATAGGTTTTAGGCTCAGTTTTGACTGGTTTCCGAAATATACTGTAAAACCATAAATAATGGTCATTTATAACAAACATTTTAGTGCCTTCTGTATGCTTTTTAAAATTGAATTAATTCATTTTAATGACGCATACGAATTTGATGTTATCGCGGTAGGTATTTTAGCCAGGAGCATGATAATAATTTATTGATAGGATACTGATATTGGCTGAGAGATCTCCCCTGAAATGACAGAAGGATTTGTAGACGCGACACTTCCTTTTGGCATTCATTTTTGTCTGTGCCTTTTCCTGTTGCCTGGCACTTTCCTGCTTTTAGCTTCAGCACCCCACTAGAGGTGTTTTAATACAGATGTTCTTTTAAAACATCACTTTCCCTCCAACTCGATAAAATGCCTGTTTACTAGCTAGGCGTTGTTGTTCCAAAATGAACTCTTGCAAATTGAAGAAAATCTGTGAAAGAGCAACTTTTATTGACCCTTTTCTCCACTCACCTCCCTTCCTTTTTTTCCATTCTAAGAAGACAACTTGTCAGTTCTTATTTTTACTGCTTAGCCACTCTTAATTACTTTTCTTCCCAGAGCTTTGTTTCATCAGGGCTCATTCATCCTTCTCTTCCTATGCTCTTCCTATCCTAGTTCTCCATTTTCTATGCTCATGTTATTTATTCTACTAAATTGCTCTTCACCTCATCTCCACCTGTGTAACATCTAGTCGTTCTCTGACCACAGATCACACAGGACTTTCACCAAAAGCAAAAAGTAATTTCTTCTTTTGTCAACCATAAGTCTAGATATACACCTCCCTTTTTCTTGTCACAATATACACTTTAATATTCAACTTACCATTCAGTGGGTTTTATCACCACATCTATGTGACAAGCTACTTGAGCACAGGAACATTATCTTAGTCATCTTTGTATCTTCTATAGTTAATGACACTTCCTGGTGTCAAAAAATTTTTTTCTTGAAAAAATGAAATGCTTATATGTCTAACTAGTGGGGTTGCAGCAAAGTACTTGAGGCAGAGCAGGCTTTTCCTCAGTTTCAAATGTGGTAAGTTGCTACTACTCCTGGTGTTACTACTCTGGCCTGGATTTGCCCCAGCTGACACCCTCTAGAACCTTGTAACTAGTACCCCCAAATAATCTTTTTATCGCCAGACATTTCCTCCAGGCCATTCCTCCGCTTTCATATGTAAACTACACTGATATTTTATACAAATATAATTCTGACTTTTAATATAAATATACCTGGAATCTCAATTGGAGGAGCGGGATGTAGCATCCTCTGTTTGTGGAGACACCCCAGGATGAGTACTTTACATAAACAATGTAAGCCTCATGTCCAGCTACTATTCTTGAGGAAACTATGAAGTCACTTTTTAAAAACTGCAATATAAGTCACCCTTTTAAAGTGTACAATTAAGTAATTTTGGTGTGTTTGTAAAGTTGTGCAGCCATCAGCTCTAATTCTAGGATATTCTCATCACCCCCAAAAAACAAAATCCCACTCCCATTAGCAGTCACTCTCTTTTCCCTCCTCCCTTAGCCCCTAACAACTTAGTTTCTTGCCCTGTGATATTTGCCTTCTATGGACAGTTCATTTAATAGGCTCATACATTTTGCAAATTCTCATATAAAAATGTAAATTCTTGCTGTTATTTAAAGTACAGAATTCAGAAGATTAGTATATGTCTATTCTCGATCACTTTGATGACTGCCTAGTAGCCAAGCATTGCCATTTTGTGTTTGACACCAAAAACTATAATTTTCTTGGGCTAGTGAGAAAATATGTCTTATGGAGATGGCAGTGTGATCTATTGCACAGTGCACTTCAGTATAGTCATGACACACAGAAGTTTCACAGAAATCCAGATAGAGAAGAATTTGGGAATAAGCCATATACGAGCATTACTGTAACAGTGAGTTACATACTTACATCATAAGGAAAAATATAATTTCAACAAAACATCATTTACCACATTATGTACATAATATTAATAAAAATTTTAATGTTGCTATTTTAATTTGCAAAATTTTTTTGGGGAGGGCTCCCTGATGGCCACTGCAACACAAGTTCAATCCCCAACCAGGGAGGTGGCCCACATGGCACCAGACCTCTCTGGTCCCATCCTCTGCTCCACTCAGCAATATATTTCAGTCAGTCTGCCTGTTCTGTTCCCCACTCTGTCTCTGATAAATCCTCTCACCCCCTGAACCTCTGGCCCCCAAAAGTAACGTGGGGGAGGGGAGCTCTTGTACACATAAATAAATAATTTTTTTAAATACTTTTGTTTTATAGGGCCAAAAGAACTGTGAGAATAAGGATTTTATACCTAACCTTATGTTTATACATAATAAGAAACATAATGTAAATAATTTAAGAGCTGAAAGTTAAGATATTTTCCCATTCAAAAGTGGCCTCAAAACATGAACTAGTTATTGGCAGACCCTGCTAAGACTATGATCATTTCCCCTGGTCTGCAGCCTGCCCTTGCCTGGGCTTTGGGGCAGTGAGAGCCAGGGTTGTGTCCACACTTGGAAAGTGTTGGCAAGGGACGACTGGCCTTTTTGCACTGTGTGGTTGGCATTAGGACCTCTCCTAACCCTAGGTAACTACAGTCAGGAGGGAATAAATATTTGTTCCAGCTTCTACAGCCAAGCCAGCTTGCTTGGGTCTTGACAGTGACCTCTGGCTGCTCCAAGGCAGCAGGGTGCCTTAGGCAAGCTGATTGACCAGCCAGCTTCCCTTCTATCAGCAACTACCAATTATGCTAATCAACTATGTTAGAGTTACTATTATCTAACTCCTCATTATCATTTCTGAGTTTTGTAAATACAAAACTTACATCCAAAAAAGAATCACCCATGATTTCTCTAGTATTTTCAGTAAGTTATTTTTCTAAAAGATACTTAAATCTGGCCCTCTCGGGTTAAGACGCAGCACTGCAAGCTAGCCACAGCCACTTCAGCGCAAGTTCGATTCCTGGCCAGGGAGGTGACCCACATGGCACAGCAGACCTCTCCTGTCTCATCTGCTGCTCCCATCAGCAGTGTGCTTCATCAATCTGCCTGTTCTGCTCCCTAGTCTGTTTCTGGAGAGTCCGCTCACCACCCCTGCATGTCTGGCATATACCCCACTTCTGTAGGCATAAATAAATCTTCTTTATAAAAAAAAGATACTTGAATCTGTGACCTCATCTGAAAATAATTTTGATATACGGAGATTTTAAATAGGTAGCCTGATTAAATAGTTGTCTTATTATCACCTTATTGAAAGATTCATCTCACACACACACACACACATACATTCGAATTCAAACATATTTATTTGCTAAATTGTTTTTATCAGCTACTAAAATCTCTAAGTTTTTGATTTGGGGCTTTTTTAGTTTATTCCATAAGGCTATCTATTCCATCTCTGTATTTGTTTCTTATTGTAGCTATAGAAAATTATCACACATTTAGTAGCCTAAACAACATAAAATTTTTATATTATAGCTTCGGATATAAGAAGTTCAAAATAGATTGACAGACTCAAGGTTCTAGGAGAAAAATCTCTTTTCTAGTCTTTTTCAGCTTCTTGACATCCAGTGCATCTCTTGGCTAATGGCCATTTCCTCCCTCTTCAAACCTAGAAGCCTCGCATCTTCAAATCTCTGTCTCATCACTTTGTCTGTCTTCACCCACACTCTTGAATCCCTCTTATGAGGAACCTTGTAATTACAGTGGGCTCCCCCCACATCAAAAAAAGAACTATCTCCCCTTCTCAAGTTCTTAATTATATGTGTAAAGTCTCTTTTGCCACACAACTTACCTTATTCAACTATTCACACTCAAGTGAGGGTCTGAGCATCTTTGATGCCATCACAGTGAGTCAGTCTCTAATATCAAACTTACTAGTCATTAGAATTTTTCATAAGTTTTAATATCTGAAAAAGTTAATTTGTCCTCAGACTAATTTTTCCATAATCAAATTATTTTTAATTATATGAATTTAAAATATGAGACCATATTGTAACTGGTTACTAATTAAATTATTACATCCATAGTAAATGCAATATACCTAGTATAGGATCTATATATTGTCTTAAAATATATATATCTATAGTCTGTATATATTTAGGTATATTTTTAGGATACTGTTTTTCCATATTTTCAGCCACTACCTGTAGTTAAGTTTTCTTAACTTAATAATAATATAAATTATCCTCATGATATTATTCATAAAAAAAAAAACAACCCACATCTCTGCTCAGCACCAGATATAAAGGTAAGAGGTGGCAGTTAAACTCAAGGCAAGTATTTTTCATCCTAAGAGCTGTGACTTATTAGTGAGTTATGAAATTATTTTGGTGGATTGTAATTAGTATTTTGGGGAAAAAAATAACCAAACTAGAGAAGACTAGAGAATATCAGGATGCAACACATAAACAGAAGATAGCATTGTACTGTGAAACCCTAACTTTATATGTTGTGCATTTCTGTGTATGTGGTTTGCAGTTTTAAAGGTCTTTCTTACTTTGGGTATGGTAGCGCCCCAAAAGCTTGAGAGCCTCTGGTTTAATGAAGAATTAATAAATATATAAACAATACAAATGAACATGAGAAGTGATTCAACTTTGGAAATCTATGACCAAAAACTCCATGAAGGCAGGAACCATATTTGTCTTCTACACCATTATTTCACACAACCTAATTCAATGTCTACAATATAACCAGTTGTTATTATTGAATACATGATTTAATGAGGTAGACCTAGGA